CGTTTTGAAGGGTTTGGGCTCCAGGGTGAAATGACCTGTCTTAAATAGAATTTTCATGAAATGTTTTTATATTCAACCATAGGAAGACACAACAATGTTTTATATTGGTTTTATGCGCGCCTCGTCCCGAGTTGTTTTTCCTAGCCCGCGTTTAAACGATTTGATACTTACACACGTACCTGAACGAATTGGCTGTTCACCAAGCGCACATGCGCGCCTATTATACATGAACTACGCCCGTGTGCACTTTCTGAAAATTTTGCATCTTACTGTTTCACCTAACCATTCGATACACTATAATTATTCGCAGTTTTTCAGAAAATATTTTAAAATAAAGGGTTGCCACATCATTCGACCATTTTGGGTAGCACTAAGGATTGAATCATCTGTAAGCAAATCAGACATTATACTGACAAACCAGACAGAAGCAACGCGTTCAATAAGCTCTCCGTTTCTTGATCTCTCCGCTTAGCTTCGGAAATTGATGTACCCCAGGATTAATGATCCCGCAGCTTCAAGTCCAGACTCTGTGGATGGCATCAAAAATTTGTGCGTGAGCGAAAAATGCGGCCCTGAAACTATCAATGAAGTCAAGTAAGTACGGTGTTAGCTTTTAGAGGGGTTGCTCCATATTGTTGAAATCCAATTCTTCTAAAGTTTCTTCGAACTTCAATTGGAGGAGAAATTTGTACGAAGCATCTTCGGATATCGAGTCTTTATAACCTGAGGTGCAACTACTAGCGACTTCCAGGCAAATGACGCATACTTTGGCATGTTTATCATCGCTAAAACCTACGTTAACTTCAAAATTTCATTTATATTGTCTCAAAATTAAATCACAAACAAGACTGCTTGTATCAGGGCGAAGCTCTGAATGTTGCGACTAGTTTTTAAGCTCTATGGATATGATATTAAAAAAACTTTGTCAAAATTGGCCAGTTAAAAAGTCGACGTTTGTCTGAAGAAAAAATAACACCCCGAGTTCAAATATTCCGTTATTTTCGTTACGAATGTCGGAATAAAAAGCTTATGTGTCCCAAAATTTTCAAGTTTTCTTTGCTAATAAATGCTTTTATCACGTAATCTCAACACAATTGGTCACAATATGCTGTTGCTTCGAGATTTTGCAAAAAAAAGTGGAATTTTTATCAAAATATTTATTTTTAAATTCTCAAAAACTCTTGTTTATTGTATTGCTAAGAACTTTTCCTAACTAAAAACTTAATAATGAGTGTTCAATATCGCACAGCACATGTAATCGCTGATCAAAAGAAGTTATGTTTTCATATGATCCAGCCCATATGACTTGACCTAGAAAAATGGAGAAAACTTATAAATTTTAGCCTTCTGCTGCCCACAAGAACGTAAATCTAACAAACCTGCGGATTAACTATTGTGTCTACCTGAGTTGAAAGTATTACGTTACTTATTTACAGCGACTTGCAGCATTGCTGTAGCCCTACAAGCTCAAATTTGATGGTCGACTGCCTTCATGAGAACGCATAACAAAATATAATGACCAAAAATGGAAGTTTATCATTTATATTTTCTATTTAAGCTTGAGCTTCAAAAACGCGAATAAATTACGTTGTGAATCACAACTATTCGGCCAACATTTTCAACGAGATCGCTTTGAGGATAATGGAAATTTTCGTTTTTCGTGTGCGACCACATCCGAATATAAATGCGTGGTACAGTTTGTTATTTGAGCCCTAATTTTTACAAACTGACAAAGTTCTAGACTGAGAATGTTCAATTTTCTGTTCAATGGGATGATGGTTCTATTTATTTGTGCTCGTTAGCCTACTTCTGGTTAACTTACTATGTTTATGTTAGATGGAAACACTTATAAGAAGGTCAATGGGATGGAAAACTGACTAAGGAAAGTCAAAAACAAAAAATAAGGATAAACAATTATTCTACGTTCCCTTGTAACCTGATTTTTAAGCAAGATCACGAGATTCGATTAGTAACATGCATTCATGTCAACTCGAAGACCTTGAATGGGTGAACAGAGAGGCCTTCTATGGAAAAACTTTGAAAAGGGGTACTGATTCAACTTGGAAAGGAATTGTTTTGGAGAATCAGAGTGCCCTTGAGTAAAACTAACCAAAGTTTAACCCAAGAATTCACAACAAAAACCAATGGGTGGACAACAGATTGTGCAACCCGATACATTTGACTCTTCCAACGATTCGGCTGAATTAGAGAGCGAACTCTATGAAAGTGACTCTAGCACAGATGACTTGCCACTTCGAAATCCCGCTCAATTGGCTCTACAACTTTTCTGATTTAGCGGGCATAAATAATTAGCTTCTTTATAGGCATGACAAAATAGACTTGGCAGACAATCAGACTTCGATGGATCTGTGTGAGCTCAAATCAAGGAGTAGCATCTTCCCTCTGCTCAATTAATCAGTCAAGAAAAATTCAAATTGGTCGACCTCCAGTTTTTGACGTTGTATATTAGCATTTTCTGAAAGGAAAACGGGGTCAAGCAAAACCACAGCCTGAACTAGAGACTGGAACTAAAAAATGCGACGTATATTTGTCACTCACGAAAGAGAAAAACTGCTTTAAAATGTTTCACGTTTGTAAAAAAAAGTCTGTGGGCAGATATAGAAGCTGTTGTAACAAACTCATGTGTTTATACTGATTATGTTTATCAATAGAAATTATCTTTCCTCAAATTTTTTTCGTAGTTCTTCACAATGTAACGCAAAAGTAACAAACCGGTACGCGCCAAAAACCGCAATCAGTCGTTTCAAATTTTTTTAATATCAAAACGACGTTTTTTAAAGTCAGAGTAGCAGCAAAAGAATTTTTTTCGGTCAGCAGAAAAATATGGACGGAAGAGGGTTAGGTTAATTGAGTTGCCATTTTTAAACAATTGAAGTTACCATTTTAATCGCTCAGCGATTCATCTATTTTTTTGAACATTTACAATAAATTCTAATCGTTTATTTTTATCCCAGTTTCTAATTCATAAGTGATGTACAAAAAAACATTAGAATCGATTAGAATCGATTATAATCCCTTTTGCTTGTCCATTTTATCTCCAACCTTGAATCCGACTTGCTTAAATATATATTTTTTTCGTAGACGTCGGCTTGTGTGAAAAACGAAAGAAATACGTTTAAAGCCTTAAAATCAGCACAACCTTATAATTTTTCGATTTGTTAACTTCTCATTCAAATTGGTTCATGATGTACATCTTACTTTTTTAAACCACCAAAATATCAGCACATAGCTTTGGTTTCTTCAAGATTTATTCCTAAGACTTTTTTTCACAAATTGCGGGATCCTACTAAATAATACAAAAAGATCTCTATGAAATTTTTGTTTCGTGGTAAGACTTTGTGTTCAGATGAAGCAAAGTTTGACAAGACATCTAGCTTTTAGAGAGTTTGTTATTGAAAAAAATTAATAACCCATGAGATATAATTAAATTGTTTTATTGGTGTTACCAAGTTTTGACAAAATAAAAGATTATATTCAATTGTAATCGATTATAATTGATTTTAAGTGTCTTTTGTATGAATTGTGATCAATTATAATTGTTCCGACTTTCGATACAAAAGTTACGGAATATTTGTGCTCGGGGTGTGTTTTTTTTCTTCAGACAAATTTCGACTTTTTAACTAGCCATTTTTGACGGAATTTTTTTTATATCATTCAAAAGGTATTGTTGCCCTGAGCTTAAATTTGAAAAGATATTTCACCTGTGATCATTTTTCGTAAATTTATGAGGGTTTAAATATTGCCATTTTTGTCAATTTGGGACAATTAACGCGCGATATCTTTCGCGCTATTAACGCGTAAGCGGAGATTTAATCCATCTTTTAAATCGTTCCAAATTGGTTGAAAGAAGCTTATTTGCCATAATTGTTTTGTTACAAAATTTTTTAAACTTTATATGGCGTGTGGGGGGATGATTTCATAAAAAAATACTTCAAATTTTAGAAAAAATTTTTTTCATTTTTTAAATTTTTTAATTTTTTTAGGTTACTACTGCTCGATAAACCTGAAAAGGCAGTCGGAATATTCAGGGCTTCGCCCTGATACGAGCAGTCTTGTTATAGTTTATAATCTTTTGGAAAATATCGCAACTCTTATCGATTACAAACCTATAAGCACCTAATTTTGGTAATTATTAATCAAACATTATTGTCAAAAAATTAGCGCAAAAAATCCAATATGATCGAACGCTTACGCTTAAAGCTGAATGCGTGTAATCGTTCCTTTCCTCCTAAAAACTTAAAGGTACAAATTGAACTTATTTCCACTTTCGTAGCTATTTGAACTATTTGCGGGAGTACGAAGGTGGGGGTGTAGGTATGTGGCTAAGGACGTGGGGGCGACATAGGGGGTGGACGTGGGGGGGATTGGGACGTACCGGAGGCATGATGGGGGCAGTGAGTAGTGCGAGGGGGGACTGGAAATTCAAAGAAAATCGAAACCACTCCCACAACACTAAAAAGAACGAATTTCATGAAAAAACAAGTCAAACACGCCGTTTTTGCGCTGTTTTGGAATTTAATAGACATTGGCCTCTTCAAAACTACTAGTTTTTGGCCACCCGTGGATGAACGTGTTCGTTCGAGTTTTGCAAAAAGTTGCAAATAGTAGAGTAATTAGCTACAAGATTTAATCCATTTTCATGGTTTTTATGTACAAAAATTAATCCATTTTATTGAAAACAAAATGGACTATAATCGATAATGACGGATTTTAGTGGATTTTTATTAGAGTATAATCGATTAAAATTGATTAAAATTTCATTACCTTGTGTCTAAATTTGCCACAATAATCGATTATTTAGACAACATGTTTGTCAACAAATAACAATTATTATCTATTTTTATCCATGAAACTTCAAGCAGGAATGATGCCGTCGTTTGACTTAAGAATAGATAAGGATGTGAGTTACTAAAATGTGTTGTTCAGTTTCGATTGCGCAGTTAACATCACTTTCTTGCTGAGTCAGAAAAGTGTAAGTTAATTGGGAATGATTGGTGCTAAAGGATAGTCTCGATGGGATTCATGAAGTTCTTGAGGGTACTCGAGGGCTACTTCAAGAATGAAACCAATATCTGAATCTTCTGGAGTTGCCAATATTTCATCAAGGTTCGTTTCACTGCTTGTAGCACGGCGAAGCCCTGAAGGTTCCGACTGCCTTTTAAGGTCTATGAAGCAGTGATAACATGAAAAAAAAATCTGATAAAAAATGATTTTTTTTGTATAAGTTTGAGGGTTTTTGTGAGAACAATCACTCGACACGCCATATTAAGTACAAAGTGAAATTTCATTCCTATTAACAAATCAATTATGGCAAAGAAGCTTCCCTCAGCCAATATGGAAGGATTTTTAAGACGAAATAAATCTCCGATTACGCGTTAATAGTGCGAAGTATATCGCGCGTTAATTGTCCCAAATTGGCCAAAATTGCAATCTTTGAACCCCCATAACTTTACGAAAAACGATCAAAGGTAAAAATACATTTTCAAACTGAAGCTCAGAACAACAAAATTTATAAATTCCGTCAAAAATGGTAAGAAAGGCAGAAATTTGTCTGAAGAAAAAACCACCCCGAGCACAAAAATTCCATTATTTTTGTTACGAAAATCGGAACAATTTTTTTTACTGTTTTTGACACAATAAGCAAATGGATGGTCACATTTGTTTGTTGGGGCACATCAAATTTTTTACTGTAATTTTTAGTAGCGAAAATAACGGAATATTTGTGCTCCGGGTGATTTTTTTCTTCAGACAAATTTCGAAGTTTTTGCCGGAACTTTTCTTATATCATTCAAAAGCTATTGTTTTCCTGAGTGGAAAATTGAAACAATAATTCACCTGTTATAGATCCAATTTTGCAATTAAAACTTTTATTTTTCCGATTTTCATACCGAAAGTAACGGAATAATTGTGCTCGGGGTGAGTTTTTCTCTTCAGACAAATTTCAACTTTTTAGCTAGCCATTTTTGTCGAAATTTTTTTACATCATTCAAAAAGTACTGTTATCCTAAGCTTAATTATGAAAAGATATTTTAGCTGTGATTATTTTTCATTAAGATATGGGGCTTAAAGTTGCCATTTTGGCCAATTTGGGACAATTAACGCGAGACATAATTCGCACTTTTAACGCGTAAGCGGAGATTGACTCCGTCTTAGAATACGTTCCAAATTGGTCAAAGGAAGATTAATTGCCATAATTGATTTGTTACTAGGAGCAAAATCTATCACTTTGTTTTACATATGACGTGTGGGGTGATGGTTTTCATGAAAATCTCAAAAAATTTTTTTTTAATTTTTTGTTTCTGATTTATATTTTTCATGTTATTACTGCTTCATAGACCTTAAAAGGCAGTCAGAACATTGCTGCGCCGAAAAGGCAATTTTTCCACATCAAGGTTTTTCAAAAGTGCCTAAAAAGTTTCGGAGAGCACGGAAAATGAAAGTGGTAGACCTAAAAAAAAAACGTTCGGCAAAAATTTTTGAACCCCCGCAAGCCACTGGTGAGATACAACCGATGTGGTCCACTTAAAGAGTACTTCATACATCTATACAAAATCTTGTGCTATCTGTTTTCAACCAGATAATTTTTTGCAGCTCCTTTTCCATTATAGACTTTTTCTTCAGTCAAACTTTCTTATTGGAATAATTGTCTCACTAGAAGTTTGGAATCTGTCGATAGTTTTTTTGTAGATTCTTGTTCAATTTTTAAATTTTTAGTATTCAATTAAATCCTAACTAAACGAAAGTGCTCGTATCAAGACGAGACCCTGAAAATTCTAACTTCCTTTTTAGGTCTATAGAGTAGTAAAATAATGAAAAAAATTAAAGTAAAAAAAGCCAGTTTGAGAAAAAAAAACTGAGATTTTTTGTAAAAATCATCCCCCACACGCTATTTTAGGTACAAAGTGATAAATTTCGCTCCTAGTAACAAATCATTCAAGGCAAATAAACTTCCTTCAACCAATTTGGAACGATTTCTAAGACGGAACAAAACGTTTTTATTTGATTTAACTTTTTATTGTTTCGACTTTCGAAGAAAACGGAATATTTGTGCTCGGTGTGATTTTTTTATTCAGTCAATTTTTGACGACCAAAAAAATAATTTCCAACAAAAAAATTATGCCCCATTGAAGATGTCGATTGAGTTCAAAATTAAAAAGACATTTACCTCCAATGAATTTTTGTAAAATTGTGGGGGTTTGAAAATTGCCAAATTTGCCATATTCTGACTAAACTATGCACGGTTTGAAGAGTTTATTCATAATGCTGAGAGGGTAACGCGAAATATTTATGCTTGGCGAAACTTCTCTACAACAAAAAAATTGTTCCAAATTGAATTGAGTGATGCTAGCTAATTGGTCGTATTAAATTCGTACGGCTATAAAAATTAGACACTTTGATATTGTCCAAAATTTATAGGTTTTCACTATTTTTCCCAAAAACTACTTGATATGAATTAAGGGGCAGTCGCAAAAATCAGAGCTTTGCCCTGATATACGAGCAGTCTTGTTGATTTTGTTATCCGTGTTTTAATCAAAAATTTTGGTTAAATTGAATTGGCTGATGATCATACATATAGGTTTTGCCTTTCAAAAAAATTGACAAACCCGTGGTGGGATAACTTTCTTCCGTGAAAGGCTGAGGGATGATGATTCTGAGATCATTTGATTCAAATTGTGTTAGATTTAGAGAGTTAGTGAAGCTTACATTATACATGTGGATGAAAGCAGGTCTTTGACGAATAAACTTTTGTTAGACTTGCCGTGTGCTATTTTTTGTGCGAAACTTTAGAAAACGCGCGTTGAAAGCTGATGTTGTAGGTGCGATCGTTAGTTGTAGTTGTCATTTTACTCATGTTTTTTTTTAATAAAGTTTCCAGTTTCGTCATGGGAATCAGTAGGAGCCTCGGAAGTGGCTGCGTCGGTATGTGGTCGGTTAGTGATTTTAATTTTAGAGGTTTCGATTTTAATGAGGAAGCCAAAAAAAGTTGATTCTGAGGGAGCTATCATGATGCATTACTAGTGGAAGGGTTGGCTTGGGTTTTTTGTATATCCTGAGGGTTTCTAGGGAATTTTCAGTTTCTAAAAGTATGTAGTTTGTCGTTATTTCTGAAGGATGGTGAATAGAGATTATGTTAGTATCATACGAATGGTCGAAATTGTGATTGGTTTCAGAATCATTGTCAGGGTTATTGTTAGAGTAAGGTTCCGGGAGAAGGCTGATGGGGGAGAATGATGCTCGTCGTGAGTGTTAAAAACGAGGAAGCCAAAAGGAAATAATGATTACACCCTAGCACTGCGCCTGGCTGTTCATTATGGGCTAAAACATGATCGTATCGGGAAAGAAACGTTCTAGCTTGAGGGTGGGATATTTTTCCCATTGGTCTTATATCGATTGAGTGTTTTTTGCGTACATTTCAAGCATTGAAAAAGTGCCTCCACAGCGCCACTCCAAAACAACGGAGTGAATCAACCTGCTCCCCATCCAGGTCAAAATCAATCCAGAATGCAGGAAAACCTCAGCCTCACAAAAACCTACACTACATTTTGAAATTTCTACACTTAAGTTCTACCACGGGACCCCAAGCTGATTAAGAGCCCCCCCCCTATCCGTTCACTATTCAAAGGGTTCACCCAACTCTTCTAACTGATCCCAAGTGGCTCTTCACAGTCACTTGAAAACTCAGAGCAAATTCATTTTCAAACTGTTTTTCTCATAAAAATCATATAGCAATGCTTTGTGTTCATCATTCGCATAAGGTCAATAATTTTGCCATATTCCCTGTTAAATTGTCATTTCCACGAGGTACCTAGATACTACAACTCTAAATAAATGGGATCAGTCAAAAAAATCTCAGCTCCAGAAATTTCCCTACCCAAAAATTTTTCGCCCAAAACCTTTGCTTAATTTTTTCAAAGCCTAAAAATTTTTTAACAACAAATTTTTTGCATTGAACTTTCAAAAACCTAAAATTTTTTTCAGCCCACAGCTTTTGCTTTAAATTTTCAAACTTCTGTTTTGTTTTGTAACGGTTTCCTTAACTCAAAACTGAAAACTATTGTTTTAACCATACCATGAAAGAATTCACATAAAAATAGAAAGTCTCAAAACTCCTTCATTCATCTTATTCAATTGAAAAAACTTGAACCAGTGAGGTCTGAAAACTTTTTCCATCATAATAAAAAAAATGTCTTCTCGGTCAAGTTTCACCGCTAAAAAACTATTGGTACTTAAAAATTGATTATAAGATATTTCCTAGTTTTTTGAAAGCTTACAAAATACCTATACGAATTACGCACGCTCGTAGTGCCAACAGGACCGTTCATACCTTTTGTCTCTGATAATTACATATTGATACATAAAACTACTTTCAATCAATTTTATAACTTCTCTTCTAACATAGTTAGGCCATTCCTATAACAATTTCACCACTTCAACGATGGCTCCTAGAGTCTCACATCAAGCGCTCATAAACATTTGCATGTTTCGCTACACTTCTCTTGATAGCCTTGAATGACAACTTAGCAGCGAAATTGCACAATCTAAGGATGTGAATATAACGGCCAACGAGCTTTTAAAATATCTGCAACAATTAGAAAAATTAGCAGACGATAAAGCGTCGTGCCCTCTAGCAGACGTGCAAACTCTTCTTAATGACGCCTCTTCAGTACAAAAATGAAAAAAATTGCTTCTGAAACAAATTCGACGATACAAAAAATACTACTTTGGGAGACAGATAGATGACTCCTCCAGTCAATCTACTCTGCTATTACCTTCTCATACGGTCCAAGCTATCAAAAGATTTCCCTTGTGAACTTCCACTTTAAAAATATGTACAACGTTTCTACGGCAGTCATTTGTTTTGATTCTACCACAACAACGGTGCAATCTATCCCGTTTGTA